GCGTCACGAACATATTTCAGCTCCACGGTCCTTCCTTTGTCGGGAACCTGTCAATTGCTGATAAATTTGCGTCCGAGTGGTCGTCCGTCCTGGGAATCAGTCACCGTACGACGTCGCTCAGAGATCTGCCCTCGGCCATCAGACGGTTCGTGCGCGTCCCCAGCGCCCGGAAGCTGTCTGGTGCTGATAATATGGCTCTTTTTTCCTGTGTAACGGAAGCGGAGGTTCTGACGGCTGTCACCAGTCTCAGTCGCCATAAGGCGGCGGGGCCGGATGGTCTCAACAATGACTTCTACAAAGATACACCTGCTCTCCTCGTTCCAGCTCTTGTAGCCATCAGCAACCAAATTTTGGAAGGCGCCGACCCACCGCCCTCCTTTCTCGAGGCCCTAATTATCCCCTTACGGAAGAAGGGGAATTCGACAGATGCCATGGACTATCGGCCTATTTCCCTACTGCAAACAAGCTACAAGATCTTTGCCAAGGTTCTGGCCACGCGCTTGCAGCGCGTTCTACCGCAACTTATTGGGCAGTCGCAGCAAGGTTTTGTTCACGGCAGGCAGATGATGAAGCTCGTGATGATGATGTTGGCTCAAATAGCCACGGCTCGGCACGATGAGACTCGCACAGCTCTCCATAGCCGTGCCATCCTTTTACTCGACTTTCGCAAGGCTTACGATACGGTCGATCGAGACTTTTTGTATGAGGCGCTACGCAGCTTTGGTTTCGACGAACGTTATATTCAGCTTATTCATCGGCTGCATGCAGGGACGACGGCATCGTTTCTCGTCAATGGTGAGCTTTCCAAGCCTATCCCCGTGGTATCGGGCATTCGACAAGGGTGCCCACTCGCCCCTCTTCTTTTTCTATTGGCGGTAGAGCTCTTGGGGCTGGCCATTCACCAATCTCCTGACCTGAGCGGTCTTCCGGTCCCAGGCGACGGGACAGGTTCTCATACCTTTTCCGCCTTTGTTGATGACTCGACCATATTTCTCGAGGCAGCACGACAGTTGCCGGCGGCGCTCCAGCTCGTGCAACAGTTTGGCGCTCTGTCCGGATTGCATGCGCAACCGGCTAAGAGCAAACTGATTTTCTTAAACCGCGCGATTCGATTAGTTGATTTCCACGGCATCTCGGTCCTTCAAGCGGGGGAGACCACGCGGTACTTGGGGTACGAGATTGGGACGGGTGATCTCCAACATCGCAATTGGGCGCTCCGAATTCGCCGGCTGCAGCGGCGTCTGCTCACGGCTTCACAAATATCGACCAGTGTTGCTTCTCGAGTAATCATTCTAAACGCCGTCATCTTACCGTCGATCCTGTTCACGGCGGCCGTTTTTGAGATCCCGTCATGGGCCAGCAAAGACATTCAAAATCTCTACAAACAATTTTTGTGGGACCATTCGACCTCGACGGACGCGCGCCGTCATAAAATCAACCCTGGTTTGCTGTACACGCCGAAGAAAGCCGGTGGGGTTGGTCTAGCCTCGGTGGAGGTGGCCATCAAAACGCAACGGACCAAACACGCGCTGCGCTGGCTCACCCAATCGCACGACAAGTATTTTAATGCTTGGAGGTCCTGGGCGTACCAAGGCGGAGCTACCGGTTCGGGTATGGTCATGCATACATGGCTGCGTAGCCGGGAACGGCCTTTACGCATCAGCAGGTCTTCGCTGGCTTTCGTGGCTAAAGATCTAGACTTGCTTCTTGAGCCGTCGGCGGCGCACGCTGGTCAACGACGGGATCGGACATCGTCTTTTCTTGATTCTCTCGTACTACATGCGGTAAGTCGATGGATAGGGCGTGGCTGGGAACTACACTTTTCCACTACGTTACCTGACGAAGTCCCTCCTCCGGAGGGTTCTGGTTATCAACTACGCGCGGTGCGTCAATTTTGGGGGACGTTTGGCTGGTCCGGCAATCCGTGGATCCGGGATGCTAAAGGTGTGAAGTTGTTGCACTCGAAGTTCAATCAAATAGCCGCCTGCTCTATCGCTGACCTGCACATTTGGAGGACGGGCCCGACCACCTATGTTTTCACCATCCCGCCCTCGCGGCCAGAGGGAGTCACGTATTCCCAGCCGAAGCTTCGCCGGTGGGCGACAGCAATTTTATTGGCGTCTCCGTTATGTACGGTCGGGTCAGAATTGGGCGTGGCGGCAGCATTATCTCTTCGGCATCCCCCCCCATTTCGTTATGAATATGACTGGGTCACTGTGAGTCGGGGTTGCGTCGTGGGAGCTCGCAGGAATTCACTAGAGGAGAGAGACGGAATGGTGCAGTTACGCCAGGGCTCCGATGGGCTGCATTGGTTGTTTCAAGACGGCCTACCCGAGCTCCACACGGCGTCGGACGGTGACAGCCAGCGATGGGCTACGCACATCCGGCAGCACGGCGTGGTCTTTTATGCTCACCCAAGTCACCACCACTTGGCGTGGGGAGTACCCGAAACGGTTCCTAATGGAGCTCTCCGTCAGGCTATTTTGCACCGGGCTTTCTCGCTGCACAAACACCGACTAACTCGGCCTTTACTACCCTTATTGGAGCGGCTGGATGCAGTCTATCGAGAGGATTCGTGGCTGAGGGCGGCGGCGCATCAGCAACCATCCCAACTTTGGAAACATGATAACGGACTCTCCGACTATCAAGTTTGGACGGCGTATCGAGTCGCCACCAAGCAGCTAAATTTTCATCATGCCGGGCGGGCTGCCGACCCCAGCTGCCGGGCCCTGCCTACGTGTCACGGGGTGCCCGAAACGTCGAGGCACGTCTTTTGGGATTGTCAGAAGGCGCGGGCGTGCTGGGCGAAGTTCATCAGCCATTGGATCGGCGCTTCTGTGTCGAGTGCGGTAGTCCATAGTTGTCTCAGCAACTGTGCGAATCGACAGGCTCCGGCGATCCCGGCGTTTCAGCGGTCTCGGTTGCTCGAGCGGTTTCACGATGATGCCGCAGCGGGGGAAAAGGTGTGGCGACGGATTTGGTTTTTAATGTGTTCCGTTTGCATTACGCATTTATGGAGCGAGCGCAACGATGCCGTGTTCAGAGGCGTGCAGTCTACGACGGCTCAAAGTGTCGCCCATTTCTGGACAACCGGCGTCCGTCAATTAACGGCCTTGGCTATGCGTGAGCATAGAGGGGCGTCGACAGTTCTTCGAGGGGCTCGTTTACATGCCTCCCTTGAACTTTTTACTCTTGAGGCTAGCGGAGTTTCGCTACCACTAGAGGGGTGCCTTGATCCACCGCCGCGACCGGCGCTGTATTCTAGGCTTAGAAGATTTCAGACTTCTAGCGCGTAACCATCATGTGCAATAGATAGTCATGAATCT